AGGGAAAGCAACGTTTAGTACGACCATTATATACATCACGTGGTGATTGGATTTTCGTTAGTGCGCCATTGTCTGTCGGACGGTTTTCGGCGAATGACGGTTTTCCGAATTACTTCTCTGACTTCGCGGGGCAAAGTTAAATTTTGACAGCCACGTTTATCTTCACAAATCCAACTCCGTGGCTTTTATTAGAAATTTACATCTGCGACTGATCTTCTCCGCTGTACAGAGAGAAACCCTCTCAACCCTCTAACTTTCCACTTGTATTAATGACGATCCCTTACATCACACGCCACCCTTTACAGATCTAAACTAGAAGGGTAGCTGAGAGAAGTCGGGACGGTAAAATACAATGAATGTATCTTTCACGTTGGATTAGAATCTGACTGAAAAACTATGTTAAATTACTATTTACGTACAGTACAGATGAGTATAGTAATAATTATGTTGACATATAGTAGTTCTGTATGGGCAAATTTTACTAATCTAACTGCATGAGAATATGGAACTGCCGGCACGTTAAATTAAAGACCAAAAGCTAATTCAGTTTGTGCTCTCTACACTTTTCCAAATTGAAACGGCTCAAAATCATCTAATCCTGCCGATCGTTTCCAAGCGGAAGTGCTCTCTCGCAGATTGTTCGATGAATCAATGGAAACCCGTGGTAACGTTTAACGGGATTGGATTACTTCACTGTAATACATATTCTTCCGTAACTCTCGCGAGTCCAGGACCAGGTTTGGCCCTGAGCTGAGGAAACTTTGCATCTGCGCTTTTCAATTTGGTGCGCTGCCAAGAAGGTAGTTGGGCACGGAATAAATGAGAATTCACGTCGTAAGGCACCTTAATATCTCGGTAGAAGTGATTTAGACGTTTTTACAGGGTGTCCTCGCAGTCACTTATATAAAAGAATGATGGAATGGAATTTGGCGGAGGGAGGATGGGTGTTGAAACTCGTGAGTTCGGATTCGAATTCGGTAGTGGCGCCGGATGCGCATAACGACGTCTTACGTACTCCATCCAAGTATCCCCGCTTGTTATTTTTCTACCACCCACTACTAGTTCGATGTGGAGTCCGCCCCGAGCATTGAACACGTGTTCCACCTCCACTAATCTACCCCGGCCATACCATCCGAAAGCGTTAGATGTGGTCCCAGATGCTCTTACACAGCCGTCGTCGGCCGATCTTGCCGTGTCTTTCCGGAGCACTGACGCGAAGTTAGCACGAACGTTTTCACAAGTCAGATGAAAAGTTGCGCACAATAACGTTTGTACGTATTATCAAGTAGCATTAGATGCGAACGTGTGCGACTTAGAAATTATATGCCACGTCAGTTTGTATATTTACACAGCAATAAAAGTCTGAGAATTTTTTTACATTACACGTTTTTAATTAATTTCTAATTCGTATGTAAACAATCGATCTTGAAAAATTTTATATAATTTAACACACTGACGTTGTTAAACTCGACATAAAAAAATTTGCAACATTACAATAAAAATGAAAAACTATAGATTGCGAAATCTGAAATAGATATTACAACATTTGTAATATTAAATACTTATTAAAAACTTTTGTTAAAATAAAACATATTGAAACATATTTATTAAACTTAAAAAGACATACTTTAGAATTAACTCTTGTAGAGAACAACAGCAGAGAAGTAATTGAAGTATATAATTAACTAATACCGTAAGTTTATAAAGTTGTAGAAAAAAGTAAATCCAAGCTGTTCTAACATCACGTACATCGCTGTAAGTAATCAAATTTGTTGCGAGCGAACGTCTTCATTTAGATAAAGCTACCCGATAGGTGACCGAGCTTACGCTCATAGGCTGTATATTGGCGCGAGAAATGCTTTCCAGTAGAGTAGTGCGGTGTTTATCGGACCGTATCCCCAACCACATCCTCTACTCGATTCGCTTGCTTAGATCCAGAGGTTACTCGTAATCTCCCAAGCTAGTTCGACCATCATAGTTGCTTGCTTCAGCACATTCACGTTTCCATGGAAATTTCACGACGTCAAACGACTTGTCTTGCGTACAACATATCTTTGGTTAATTTATGTCGAACAAATGTGAGAAATTTATTAGCATTGCAAATTTTATTCTTGTATTAATCTAATTAATGGATCACACACACGATATATATATTGTTACTTTGTAGAAAAGAATACATTTAAAATATAAAAAAGTATTTTACGTATTTTACCAGAAAAAGCGTGTGCAAACTCGGTGACGTTTCTCGGATAATGTGTTTCTCGATTCATGTCATACTGTCGTACGTGTACTAGCTGTCATCGCGGTGACATGTTGTGTCTACTGACGGAATATGGTAAAATAAAAATAATAGCGTGCGCGTAGCGCGCGTCTGTGATGTGTTTATCTTCCTATATTAAAAAAGGCATGTGTACCAAGAAGTGCGCGTTTGGAGTCGAATATATCGCACCTATAGTTGCCTCTTTTCCGCATTGCCGATTGGTTGGTTGGTTGATCGAGTCGAATCGAATCGGTAAGATCGAGAGAGTAAATAATAAAAGCGATTTTGTGAGACAGTCTTTTCGTCGTATACTATGTAGAGAAAATTAAAAACGTAACTAAAGTCACGTGACAGGAAAGAGTAGAAAAACAACACGTAAAAATAATGTGACTGTAACTTATATTATATATAATATTAAATAATATATATTATATATACATATAATTTATTATATATTTATAATATTATACTTTATATTGTATTATATGTATTATATACATACTACAGAGTAATGTCACTGACCTCGGCCGCGCGGCCTTGGTGAGGGCGGGTCACTGACCGCGGGTGCGCGGCCTTGGTGGGGGCGGGGTCACTGACCGCGGGCGTGCGGCCTTGGTGAGGGCGGGGTCACTGGCCTCGGCCGCGCGGCCTTGGTGGGGGGGGGTCACTGACTGCAGTCGCGCGACCGCGGCGGGGTCAATGACCCCAGTCACGCGACTGCGGTGAAGTCACTGACCTCGGCCGCGCGACCGCGGCAGTGTTACTGACTTCGGTCACGTGATTACGGTATATATATATATATATATACATATATATATATATATATGCGTATGTGTGTGTATTACATACAGATATAGAATATTACATATAATATATATAATATTCTCTTTTTTACCCTTTTCTCTGTCAAGTGACTTTAATCACGTGTTGTTTTTCCACTTCTTTCTCTCACTATTTTTTGAGTTTGATTTTCATGCGTTATTTCTGACATTTCTCATATATGTATTATATATGGTTTATAAGACGTATATACTGTCATCGCGGTGACAGGTTGTGTTCACTGACAACACGTTAAATAAAAATAACAATAGCGTGCGCGTAGCGCGCGCCTGTTTTGTGCTAGTTTTGCTAAAAAAACGTAAAGTAAAATATATTAAATAATTACAACACTCTTAGAAACAAAATAAAACATAGTATAAATCTATAAATTATGATCGTTATAAAAAATTATCACATGTTCATATAATGTAATATGTCGATTATTATGCACCGTAAAGTGATAAAAATTAAATGCCGTAGCGACCCGAGAGCCCACGTCCGTGAAATTCACGATGTGCTTCGATGGTTTTGCAATAAAGAACAAGATGATCATCATACATTATCGATATACCGGATAAAATAGCTTCCGTCTTCCGTTTGGATTATTATGATCCTAATCTCATCACGTTGATGGAAGAAAATGATTTCTTCTAGACAAAATCCGAGAAAGTTGGATTACGGACGATGGAAATAAATTTGTCAAGAAAACTATTTCAAAAAACTCAGATTTCTTTACTTAACTAAATCACATTATCCGTACGTGTTTAATTCTGCTGCATTTATCTTGATTTTAATGTCAGTTAAGATTTCAATTTACTCGGGTTCCACGCGCGCGTTTCTATCTCGACGCCAAAAAAAGCTCCGATGAGAGGTCACATGATTACGAAAGGTATGTAAACAAGGGATCGAACCCAGACGGAAAAAAATACTACGCGCTGGCATTCGGAGCGAATTCCCATGCGATAGTAAGATATTGGTTTTCATCCTGCTCGTTCCGGTGCTCGTAACGTTTGATAAAAATGCGTGTTACGCGTTCCAGACCAGACCCACCTCGGACTGAAAGGGCGCCCAGGGAGCCGTACACGAAGAGATCACGAAAATTTTCCCTCCGCCTCTGGTCTCGCTCCAGGTATTTGCGCATAAGAGGGTGACGACCAGACCTATGCCTATAAATACCTATACGCAATGATATCGTCTCCGCCAGCAGATTTTTCAGATACTACCGCACGAACTGATAAAATTCACGATCCCGGCACTTACGACTCGCCACGTAAAACCCTTTTTCTTCGCTCGCTACAACACGTGCTGCGAGAAAAACGTTTAGAAAAATTTTTTTTTATTTCAAAATTTACGCGTTTCCGCGTACTGTTCAATTTTTATCGATTTATCGGTACGTAACAACAATTGTATTTATTCTGCAACAAACAGCAGTAGAAAACTGAGTTTTCTGCCGCGGATATATAACGGTCGCGCGTATAAGCCCACACCAACGCCGGGATTTAAACTCAAGCGTGGAAAGCTTATACAAAGCTCCAAATTTATTGGATGGAAATCCTCTCGTGCAAGTTCCCTACAGCAAAGTTGCTCGGCAGGATTAACACTTTCCTATCTCCTCCTCAATGCGCCGCTATTCTCACTAAACTCTTCTGTTTCCACAAGCTTCCAGTGTTTCAAATTTATTATAGCTATTTTAATGAGCGTTTGTAGTTTTGTAAAAAGAGACATCTTTTTTTTTACAAAGCTTGCTCGCTTTAACTATTTGCAACTCTCTTCACGTTCTTCTTTTGTTTTGTTTTTAATCAACAAGTCTTTATCACTTTGTTTTCGAGTAATAAAAATGAGCATAATTATTTTTCCTGAGGAATGTGATTTTTTTACGTTTATTTTATTAAAATCGTTATTTGCATTCTGATTTTTTCAGACTTTGACAACCTGTGCGTTACGATCACGGCATGTAAGTAAACAGAAAAATAAACAAGATATATAACAATACTTGACAGATATAATTAATCGTATTTTTTCGAAAGGCTTACACAACCGGCACGTTACTCTGGATTCATCTTCTTCCCTCCCTCTTTCTCTCTCTCGCGCGCTTTCTACTTCAACATACATTCAAACACACAGTCGGCGAAAACTTTCCTGGCGGGATTTGGGAAGCGAGGCGAAAACGCGAGCTTTCCTACCAAGGAAATACGGCTCCGAGGGGGGTTCCCAGGGCAACGCCACCGGCAGCCAGTCGGCATCTCCCGGAGGATATCAGACGAAAGGCGAAAGAGGTATTCCGTACGAGGAATATTCCTTCCAGAATGTTCCAGAAAAGATTTTACGACACGTGGTCAAAAATTATAATTATTTCTAAAAAGTGGGAGAAAATAAAACAGATATGTTATTTTTGTGTGAAGAGATAACCGAGAAAGAAAAGAGCACGGAATTTCGGTAGGAAAGAATAAGTTCAGAAGAGAAAGATCCTAAAAAGGAAAACCTGGAAGGCTTTCTAGAAGGCCCGAAGGGATAACCGGATGGTTGGAGATAATGGGAATTTTTGAAATTGGATTATCAATCTTCGTGCTTCTCGAGCTTAAAATTACTTCTATTCACACACATACACACACACATTCAGTATTAAGATTCGAGATAAGATTTTTTTAAGCTATATAATCATGTTCTTTCTTTAAGAATTAAACGTAGTCAGTGAGCAATTACTGATTATCTTCTTGATTTTTGTTTCTTCTTCTATTAATTATTAAAAGTGTTAAGTATTTCTTTCGTCCTCTCCACATAAAACTATAGTATCACAAAGACCTGATATAATGAGTCTGAATGGCTCGGCTTATAACCTAAGGCAGTTAATTCCCGCGAATAATATCTTCTATTTGCCATAAGCGAGATTGTACATCAGACCACCTACCTGCTCTCTCTTTCTCTCTCTCTCTCTCTCCCTCTCCCGTTTTCCAAAAGAAAAAAGGAACGGCGTGACATTTATGGAGTTAACATTTCTAAAACTCGCCGGTTCTCATACGACGGCACAGGAAGAGAGGGCGGAGGAGGAAGAGAAGAAACGGGCAAGAGAAACGCAGAAGCAAAAAAGATAGAAGCGCCGGAGCGAGTTAGGTGGACGGGGATAATGGCAGTCTTGGAATTGCATTATCAATCTTCGGTCCCCTCAGCCCCTCGGCACCACCTCGCCCTGCGGGCACTACGCTCGACTCCATTCCATTCCATTCCACCCCTTTTCCACCCCTGGACTACCCTGGAAACTCTCGCGGAACCATACCCCTCTTCCACGGCCGGGGGAAAACCCCCGTCAAACACGGCGCTTCCCAAGCTACGTTGCCGCGCAAGCCCTGTCCCCACTTTCTTGGCGCATGACGCTCCATTCCCTTGGATGTATATGCATGGTATCCTCCCTTTCAGACTACCACCTCCCTGGATTCACCTCAGCGAACATTTGTATTGCATTTTATATAACACACATATACATATATATATATATATATATATATATATATATATATATATGCGTTATCCCATTTGGAAAAATGTTATTCTGTGACGAGCAGAAGCCAGAGATTATTTTAATGTTACCATCTGTATGATGTGAGAACATCTGAGAACAATTTAAAAAAAATACAACGCAAAAATAAAACGCTTGTCATATTATTTGTTGGTTTCTTTTCTAAGATGTTCAAAATTTAAAAAAGAGAGAAAATTTGGTTGCAAGTTTGTCATCTTTTTTCAAAGATCGAAGTGAATAATTTCGACGAAGGTCGTAATATTGAAAGAGCCGACGAATTATGAGAGATTGGCTCAAAATTCGCGATATGATCGAAAAGCGATATTATAGATAAGAGATCTTTCTTCGAAGGGTGATGGTAGTCAACTGTATTGGCACCTTCGTGCGTAGATGAAGACGAAATGACGACGGGTGAAAGGACGAATGGCAGGGGACGAAGGAGCGCCTTCCTTATCCGTTCACAAAATGCCGCGGCCGAGCTACGAAGTCGATAGCGTATCGCTTTCCACGGACCCAAAGGTTACCGAATCGTTCTGAGACTATCTTAATGGCAGGATAGATCGTTTGATACTATGGCCGAGTCGTAAAGGCTATTGCTCTGCCCTCTATCCCTTCTTCCCCTTCTTCACTCTGCCCCGCGACCCTTCTCTGCCTTCCGCAGCTGAGAAAGCTGGCTTAGCGCCACCCGGATGCCTCTACCCCCTCGTACCTCTATACGCACCTCGTTCATACCCTCAGAAATGTCGACAGAGAGTACTGATATACTCAGTCCAATCTCATTCAGTGTGGCATAATTAATTACTCCCGAATTAGTCTGCGAATCTGAAAATCAACTAATGTGTTTACGTAGTGTTCAATACGTAAAAATAAAATTATTACTTTATTATTTTGTACATGTATTAGAAATAAGTTTTATTTTCTGTTGTTTGTAAGTTTTAAGATACTAAAATAAAGATATTTATTTAATTGAGAAAGAGAGAGAAAGAGAGAGAGAGAGTTGTAACATAAATATATAGAGATTTAATAAAACATCTTGCACTTGTAGGCTCAATAAAGAGAATTTCTATGGAAACTAATTAATATTCCCTTTCCCTCTACTGTTCTGACATTTATATGTATATTCGGAACAATGCGACCAACATGTAACTTAATTAAGGCAACGACGCAAGCCCAACCGCGGGTTTGTGGCTGCCGTTTCTCTATATCCGGTTCGCGTAATATTATCTAGTCTGTTTTCTCTTGTTCCCTTCGCAACCCATGAAACGCCGCAATGCTAGCTCAGAATTGTATTTGTTACGTGCACGCGTACATTTACGCGTGCCTTTTGTTACATCCGTTTTGGTAAGGGGAAAGTAGCTGTTTAGATTCGTTTCGGTCGAAAGGGGAAAACAGCTTATATTGTCAAATAAACATTACAAGCCAAAACTATTTTTATCGACTTAAGAAAGACACTTCTCCGAGATTTTGTAATCATTTCGTAACATGTTGCAATTCAAATTGCGGTGTTTTTATTCAGAGATTTTACATAGAATATCTAATTGGAATAAATATATATTTTCTTTGAAAAAAATTGCAAGCTTCCTAAAAACGCTAGACAATTTTTTTTGTTTTAATATATTTAAAAAATATTAAAAATTAATTTTATTCTTAAAATAATCTTGTTAAAGCGCTTGCAAATTTTACGAATTAATTATTTGTAAATTTGTCCTTTCTTATATTCGCAACAGTTGCGCGCGTGACTATTTTTGAACGGAATTTGTAGATTATATATTATGCATGCGGAATTTGTTTTATTCTTACGCAATTTTTATTATCCGCAAACATCGTTTAGCATTGAACAATAAACACGCAATAAAAGGCATTAAAATGTCAGAAGAGGTGGTAGACAGCTTATAGAATAGTTCGCATAACTGTCTGATTAAAAGTAACGATTCGCGCGTAAATAAAATTTATGGACAATTTCACCACGCTATTTAGCCGATGTTCACAAGTCGGAAAGAGAAAACGGAGACGTTGAGGAGTATCAACGCGACGACGTTCTCTCTTAACCCGCCCCTGTCATTCAAAAAGGTGTCAACGGCAATAGCTTTTATGAGATACTTATTAATTGTTACTGCGCTTTTACGACGGCATAAAAGCGCGGGCTACGACCATTTGAGTGGGCACAGTGCTGTAAGGGGGAATCCTCCGATGGATTATTACCTCAGACGAGACTACGATGTGTATATAGTTACACATACTCGCGCGCGTGCCAGGTTTCCTCATCAATTCAGGTTAAGAAAGACAGACAACTGGTTAAGAAAAAGATAGCAACACTATAGATTTTTATGAACAAACAAAAAAATTTATAACCTTGTTATTGCTTATAATTATTTTTTTGCTGGCATCTTCGAGTAAATGAGAAAGAATTTTCAGACAGTACATGCTTTTGTTTAAAAACTTATTTCACATTTGTTTTTTTAATAGACAAATATATTTAAAGTTTATAATTTTTATATTTTATTTATTTCATATTTTTATTTATACCATTAAGTATGAAACTTGACAAATGTATGTACATATATATGTATATATATTGTCAAATTTTACTTCTAATGATTAAATACAAGTGTAAGTTCTATAGATTGATCGTACATGTACATATATAGCGTACCACACAGCCAGATAGCATCTGGCCTTACGCTATAGCACGTCGTGCTGCATCCCTCTCAGGGGTCAGCGGACAATCTGTAGAAGTTGTCGCACGTTTTGAATGATGTTAGCTAAACATGTATCTCACACAGATCAAATAATATAATTTATAAGATAAATAAAAAAAAAACGTTTATGACAGTTTTACATAAAAAAACGAAACTTTTTAATGCCGAAAAAACAGAATCAATTAATTTTTGCTAAAACAAAGTCAACAATAAACTTCGATACATTCGTGTATCGACTGTACGTGCCTTTTAAGAGAGGATGTAAAATATCCGGAAATACCAGTTCGTCGTTCGTTAAGATTTACGCAAATGGTAACGGCTTACATTTTCATCGAATTATTTCAGAGCGGAAAACGTTTCCATGAGAAATACACAAAGCTGCGCGCAGTAAAGAAGAAAAGAATGAGCAAACGGAAGTGTGCATAGCGACTTAAATGATGCGAATGTTAGGAGTTGGATTCTTGAGGACCACGCGAGAGAGACCGGGTAACGTTGCCGGGATGGTGGTGTTGGGGGTGTGCGGTGACGCAAGTCTAGGCTCTGAGCTTTGGGTAACGACTGGCGGAAAGACGACGGCAATGCTGCGGGGCGCAAGTAAAAGAGAGTTTTTCTTTTCTCTCCCTTTCCTCTCTCCACAGTCTCACCACCGCGGCTTATCTCCCTACTAAATCCAGCGATTTTAATACGCGTTTCTCGGCAATTTCCGCGCTACACATTCCACCGCCGACTTAGCACCCCTCCGCGGTCCCGGGATCCGAGGATGGGTGTGTGTGTGTGTATGTGTGTGTGTTCGCTTTCTTCCTTCCGCCTCGCTTCCTGCTACGCTTTTCGTCCTTTCCCCTTCTTTTAAACGAACTTTATTTTTACGGTGCTATTTAAAGCAATTTCTGATTTCCCTTAATTCATTACGGCGTCGTTCCCTATAGCCCTTTTAATGCGCGCGGGCATTGCTAGCATTTCTTATCCCCCGCGCGGTACGGCATGTTCGAAATTGCTAGATCGAGATTTTTTACGACCTGATTCTTTAGAATAACAACGCCGGATAATCTCGATGTTATCAGAAATTATATATCTCAATTATTTTCTCTCTCGTTATATTCATAGTTTTATATACCACTGATAAAAAAAAGTATCGCGCGTATTATATTTTCTTCGACAAAAAATTTTCATGTATTCCGTATTTTTACTCGCAAACAACACAAAATTATGATGGATTTAAGAAGTCGATAAATCTATCGTCACGGTTGTCTGCACCAAGGACAGCAGAGAACGGTTCGCGCAAACCTTCTTCCCGCAAATTGAGTCGGATTTGAGTTATTGAATGGCGTTCATCCCTTGGGACGAAATAGCCCTAGGACTCTAACAGAACTTCCTCCGTTCTCCTACATGTATTTCATACACCCTTCTCGCAACACATTTATTGCCATTACAACACAGGCAGGATGGGAAACTTACAAGCAAAGAGAAATAGAACTGACACAACAAACCGAGATTGTGGTTTTCAAAATTACGTGATTTAAATATCACGACGACTGTATAGTAATAACCGATATTGCTTTGAAACTTTCCTCATTGATGCTCAACTCAACACGCGCCAACCAGAGTTCACATAAAATCAAATCTTTTTATATATGTACATCTATAATTTATCTCTAAATTATTCTGATACATAAGTTCCGTTGTTATAATAGCGTAAATCGTACACACGACAATCGTGCTCGTACAATCTACAAGCGGTAGCTCAAGATCAAAAGCGAAAATGAATCTGCCCGTTATAGCCATTAAGACGAAGAAAAAGCGTTAAACAGATACGTTATATGTAACGTGATAAATATGATTTTTATGTGAAACCGGCTGGAAGATTCGAGATTTGATCATCAAGGGTGGTCCCCGTGCTCGTACATCAAATGAGGAGAGTTCTCCGCCAGTCGTTTGGCTCCTCCCTCGAAACCAGAAAGACTCACGAGAAGGTCAGCGATACCCATGGACAGTCGGAGAGGCATTCAAAGTCTCGTGATGTCGTTCGTCACTTGAACCTAAAAGGGGACCGACTCTCCTTTCGTCTCTTTATCCAATCCCGAGCTCTTTTTCTTTCCGATGCATCTTAATCTAGATGTACCCGACCCCTGGCCGTGTGTGTCGTGCTATCTCAACTAACAACTAATCCTATCTTGCTTGCCTTTCCCTCACCATTCTTCTGACACTTCTCCTTACCGTCTGTCTCACCTCTCACGTGCTCACACAGAGGCCGACAGGTTTCTACGACGTGGTCGTTATTTCGCCGTTGCGCGTCTTAGCTTTTTCTCTTTCTTTTATTCCGCCGCTCTATTTATGGATGGCAAACGAGTGTGGGGACAAAGCACGACAACGAGCTGAATAATCTCCATGACTATCGTTGATGTAGTTGCTTGTTCTGCCGCCCTTAACGACTTCGACTGGCTATCAAGGCTATCCACTCATCTAATTAGCTATTTGTCTGTCTGCACAGCCCACGTTCAAATTTTAATTAATGTTCTTTTAAACGCGGAATAGCCAATAACCCTTTCTCTTACTCGTGCATAAATCGTCTTTGTATATTTCCGAAGTTAAAATTTTTCTGTTTCATTATAAATATTACATCGAAGTGTGGTTTTATTTTTCGTATAATTTTATCTTCATAATTTACAATCTTAAAATTTATTTTGCCAATTATAATCCATTCACGGCAAGTTTAATTAGTTTAAAG